TAAAATAATTGTTGCCCAAAAGTGAGCAAAGATTAAAATACCTGCAAATGGAGAGTCCAGTGAACAAGAAGCATGAACATTATGATGGTCATGGCCTTATAATGTCACCTGGAGCAACTGGAAGCAGCGTCCCAACATTAAAGTTAATTTTTTTTTTCTTTTATTACTTCTTATTGATCTCTAACAATGTCAAGAGTGTAGTTAAAGTATCATTAAACGCACATCATTAAAAACTATCAGTAAATGCTGTATTACATGCTGTTCATACTTGCTCAGTCACTATGGGATCCGTTTTCTGTATTCTGTAAAAAACCCAGCTGATCCTGCTGTTCTCTATCTCCCCCTTCTGTCCATGTCCCCAATGCAATTGAGGATTTTGCAGAGCAGTGTTGGCAGCTACTGCACATGTTCAGTTTTCAGTGTTTATGCCCTGAGCATTTAATCCCTATCATATCTGAGCAGCCCATGTGCCTAGAGTCACATATGTGGGCATATACACTCTGGTAAATGACAGCCCCACACCCTCCCTACTCCTCCATGCCTACTGGTGGGATATTACATATTGATTGATTGATGCTTCACCTCCCTATTATTGTAAGACACAGGCTGGAAGGGGTGACATAGCCTGTGACTGGCAGAAATCCACCCACACCATGTTATTGCCAAAAAATAATAAAGATTTAATTTCAAATATTTGACAATTTAAAACAGTTTATTGATGTTAATTATTTTTATTCTGTATCCCAAAGGATTTTTTTTTAACATGTGACCAGAAGCTCCTCCTTCCATTCTTTCTCTGCAGACAGGCTGAAAAACGAAGCTGTATATTGATTAGGAAAAAAGGTACTCAGATGTGTTTTTTATTAAAATAATAGTACCATCATCCACATACAGGAAGAGAAGGGATAACGTAACTTAAACAGTGTGTATTTAGTATCACTTTAAACACCTCTTAGCCCTTCTGCACAGTATGAAGCAGTTTTCCCCAACTTCCAATCTTTAGTATACAATAAAATAAGAAAAATATGAAAATGTAACAAACTTAAAGCAGCATTAAACTTATTTTTATTTTTAACAAAACACTGCTGTCAGGCAGGGTTTTTATAACAGAAGAGACCCTAGCAGTCGCGTTTGTCATAAATGCCCCCGCCGCCTGTCAGCAGTAATATGATCTGAGACACACATGCACAGTGCAGAACACATCTGAGGCACCCACTGTGTACTGTGGTGATATGACTCCCGTGTACCTAGGGCCCCGTTTGACAGGTAAGTCTGCCACAATGTGCTAGTAAGTGCAGTCTAGTATATTACGACTTGAACTTGCAGGGGAGCCTTTTTTTTATTTTTTTTTACTGAGTTTACTGCTACTTTAAGAGCACTGATGCCTCTTTTAGCTAATAATAATGGTAAAATGTCCATTGGTGGAATATGCAGGTAGGACAGAATTTTGAGGGCATAGCTGGGTATGTCAGGGGCGTACAAAGAAGCTACCTCTGCAAGCATATCATTGGCCACTGAAAGAAAACATTACGTAGGGCACCACAGTGACTTAGTGGTTAGAATTTCTACATTGAAACACTAGGGTGCTCTGGTTTGAATTCCGGCGCAGACATTATCTGCATTCTGCTTTCTAAACTAGCCCTACTTTGTTTATGTATGCATACAGGATATCGACCTTAGATTGTAAGCTCTTTGAGGGCAGGGACTCAGGTGTGAATGTACCTAAAGTGGTTAAAAAGCCTAAACATTATTTATCTTAATGCATTCCCTGCATTAAGGTAAAAAATGTTTAGGCATCAGTACCTGCCCCCCTCCCCCCATATACTTACCTGAGCCCTCTTTTGATCCAGCGCTGTGCATGCCTACAGCTCTTCTCTCCCCTCATTTTTGGGTGTCACAGGCTTTGCTGAGGCTTTGTCAGGGCTGGGCTGTGGAACAGACAGGTAGGCCTAGTGGCAGGGTAACGCACTGGCTGACGACAACCACCACCAACAGACCGAAGTCCCTCAGGGCGCGGAGTCTAAGTCCCAGACTGCCCTTCACCAGGGCCCCTGATGGTGGAGATGGACTTGACGCAGCCAGGAACCAGGTCGCGGCCCCCGAGACACCCCGGCTGCGGTAATGGCCGCCGCCAATGGCGTGTAGCTGGTGAGAATGACAATAGCGTAGTTAGGCAAGCCGGGTCGACAACAACGGGACAAAACGGTACAGAACAGTAGACAGAGAATCACAGGTCACGGGCCGGGTTCAGCAACGGAAGGTCAGATCGAAGGAAAACACAGAGAATGGTCTTAGCCACAAGCCGAGTCAGATACCAGAAGAGTCACGAGCGTATACACAGAGCTGTAGCAAGACAAGAAGACACAAGTCACAAGTGCAAAGAGCATGTGCGGATCACAGGCTTATATGTACTCAGCCACACCCCTCTGGGGGATGGACCTCAGAGACCTGAAGGCATAAAAGATTCCCACCATGCTCAGCAGAAATCCAAGATGGATGCCAGCACATGGAGTAACATAACCTCTGGGAAAAGGTAGGACCTTGACAGGCTTGGCTCTCACTGCTTTCAATAAAATTCAATGACGAGGGGCGGGGGGCTGGGCTGTCTATGAACATACAGAGCATGGCTCGGGAACGAGCCTGCATGAGTGCCGCTGCTTCCTATGGGGGCACTCAACAGAGAGGAGGAGCCAGAAGTACTGGCAGGGGACAGAGGATCGAGAAAGAGGAGGATTGGGGCCACTCTGTGCAATTCCACTGCACAGAGCAGGTAAGCATAAACCTGCTTGATATATTTGTAATAAAAAATGTTATGTTTACAAACACTTTAAAGTGTAACTTTACCGCTGTTCCTGTTCCATCATGCCATCTTGCAAGGTTCAGTTTATGCGCAGAAGCTGGTTTCTGTCAGGTATTTGGGACTTGGGAGAGACCTGTGGTGCACCTAATGTATAGGTATCCTAGTTGGCTGTGAGGTTTGTGCGCTTTCTGGGAAAGCTGTGACGTAGCAATATCAGGAGGCAGTGGGGCCAAACCGAGGCCAAAAACCAGCAAATGTGTCTTTCAGCACAAAAAAAAAACACCTAAAGGTACAAAATCGTAATAACTTTTTTTTTTACATTTTTGTAAGAGGGAGGTGAGGGGACCAAAAAGAAAAAAAGTATAGGAGTTAAGTTCCTCTTTAAATAATGCTTTTATATAGTGCTATGTAAATTTTCTGCGCTATTCAAATACCTGTAGTAAAAAAGTCAAAAATAAAAGATTACACTGATCAAGCAACAGCATTCTATTATAATAATCTAGCACTTGTTAGCCAGGCATACCTTAGTAATGGAGAATACAGAAGCAGGTGCATTGTGCTGGTGTACTCACATTACATTCCACTGACAGATGCATGTCACAGTACAGGTGTTTCACTGAAAATACAGTAGTTTGCCTTGGAAACAGACATTCCAAGAATGACAGCTTATTGTTTGAATTGCAGGTTGCACTCAGCTAATGATATAGTGAACAGTGCCTAACATTTCTGAACACAAATGATGGGTTCTCATTACTTTATCTGCATTATCTGTAATGCAAAATAAAAGAATACATTGATAATGCAGCAGCAGGAGTGAGACCCCCTAACAGTACCTAAGAGGTGGACAGAGCTTGATTTTAATTTGTGCTTATTTAAAGTGATTAAACTGCCTGCAGACCAAAAGAGCAAGTATAGCGATTTTCCAGTTTGGTTTTCAGCATACCCCTCTATTGGTTATTGTATTCCTTCCAGCTTTCTGAAATGGTAGGGGGATACCTGTTAGCACACAGTGTGTAGGCAACAGACACGTCCCTGCCACAGCCCCAGTTACCTGGACCACAAAGGTCAATTAAACAGAAAATGATTGGCTAAACTACACAGGTGCTTTTTTGGGCCTGTATTTTTCCTTTATATTGGCTTTTCAGAATGTATAAGTACAAAGCAGTCTTTTTCAACAAGGGTGCCTTCTGAATTCTTCAGGGGTGCCTAAATTTCCCAAAAATGGTCAACAAGCCAACAAGTGGATCAGGCCTACCTTTGTTAGACTGGAGCACTCAGAATCTGGCGCAGCTATGAATGGTAGCCAATTAGCTTCTAAGGTCCCTTTCACATGGGCGTTCTGTATGTCCGTTTTTCATCTGTCCGTTTACAGATGAAAAACGGACACCCATGTATTTCTATGGACTAGAGGATGATCATCTGTTTACATCCGTTAATGTCTGCATCCGTTAACATCAGTTTTTTTGTATGGAAGAAGCCTATTTTTTGTCCGTTAAAAAAATGGAAAGGACGAAAAAACAGATGTAAACGGACAAAAACCAATGTAAAAGGATGAAAGACAGATGTAAATGGACAAAACGGATGTGAACAGACGAAAAACGAATGTAAAACAGAGGAAAAACGGATGAACACAGATGTAAACTGATGAAAAATGAATGACAAACTGTGGGAAACCCGGGAGGATTGTAGATGACTGGCTAGGCCTACTGAGGAAGCCCGAATCTGGGGCGTAACGCGTATAGGTGGAAGGAGCTGAGCCCTACAAGTTTTGAACTGATGACCATCTGGGAGAGCGTGGTGGTGAGCCAAGTTACGAAATTAAACATTATCTGCTGGCTTGTTTCTTACATTTTGTAAGGTTTTAATCTGGGCACTAATATATTGTTTTATAAATAGAGAGCAGTATGGTTCCACTTTTCTGTTTTCCATAATACATATTATAGGAGAGTGTCAGCTGGAGGCGTGTATACTGTGGCGGTGCCGGGAGAGGAGCTGGAGGAAGACCACAGAGGGTGTACACAAGTCTGTCAACATGTTGAGCGCATAATGACCCATTGATGAGGTCATAAAGTGCGGTGAACCTAGTGGTGGTGGACGTGGTTGGCACTGAAGAAGAAAGAAGATTCATCTTATACACAGTGGTGTTATAAGAGGCTTTTTCATGGGACTTTAATTATTGTTTAATATTTATTTTTATATGGATATTAGTCTGTTGCACTACACTTTGTTATTATTCATTTTGGTACTCGTGTTGTGAAGTCACTAACAGTGTTTTAGCAGCAACTATTTAGAGCACTGTCATGTTATTTTAGGGTGTGTTGCGCTGATCAGGAGCGGACTGACAACTCATGGGGCCCCTGGGCAATAGGGGTTCATGGGTCCCCTGTGTCCTTGCCCAAACTCAAAAAAGCCAATGAAAAAGGTACCAGGGGCATCTCATGGGGCCCCCTACTGAACCCGGGCCCTTGGGCAGCGCCCGAGTTTTGAAATGGTCAGTCCGCCCCTGGAGCTGATTGAATAGGGCTTTAGGGCCACACACTGAACAAATTTTGGCCGGTTCATCAGGAACGAAGTGATGTTGGCTCCATGGTCACCTTAGGACAAGTAAAGTGGACTGGGATGGACTCATACTTTCAAATAGATAATATAATCTAAATCTATATTTTTTTGGGTACTATGTGGGCTTCAGGATTACTGAATTGCTACAGCAAAAAACTACCATAAAACAGGTGTGTGTGAAATAGCTTCCATAATGTGCTCCCTTGCTGTATTGACACACTGTGACCTCCACACATTGAAAGGCATTCATGCACACACTAGCTGAGCTTAGCTCGTAGGGAGAGGCAGTCTCAAGGTGCTGAGAAAAATCCTATTCTTAGCCTTGAAATTGTGACTGTGGTGGAAATACATTTTACTGATTGCTGAGGAATCTGCATTTCCATCCTTTAGGAGACTGAACAATTCTCAATTTAACCAACATAATATAATGCATTGAACAGCCATGAAGAATATGATCTAATCTGAATCTGCAAAATTGCCCACTTTAGTACCACGTTATAGTCAGGAGATGGCTACTGCACTGCTCTCTAGTTCTGGGAAGGCGCCCATTCATTGTTGGTGCTCCCTCCACTCTCCTGAAGCCACTGCTAGCTGACAGAAGGGAGCCGATCATGTGACTGGATTGGAGCCGCATGACAATACACTGCTCAAAAAAATGTAAGGAACACTTTGAAAACACATCAGATGGGAAAAAAATACATCTCAATAGGGCGATATATCATTCTAAATATCTATACTGATATGGACGGGTAACACGTTAGGAACATAAGGATGCCCTGTCGTTTGATGGAAATGAAAATTATCAACCTACAGAGGACTGAATTCAAAGACACCCTGAAAATCAAAGTGAAAAAATCATGCAGCAGGCTAATTTCATTGCAGCAACTCAAAGTACTCAGTAGTTTGTATGGCCCCCATGTGCTTTTATGCATGCCTGATGATGAATAGTGTCCTGGGGTATTTCTTCCCAGATCTGGACCAGGGCATCACTGAGCTCCTGGACAGTCTGAGGTGCAACCTGGCAGCGTCGAATGGACAGAAACATGATATCCCAGAGGTGTTTTATTGGATTTAGGTCAAGCGAGCGTGGGAGCCATTCAATGGTATCAATTCCTTCATCTTCTAGGGACTGCCTGCATACTCCCCCCACATGAGGCCAGGCATTGATGTGAACCAGGAGGAACCCAGGACCCACTGCACCAGCGTAGGGTCAGACAATGGATCCAAGGATTCCATCCCAATACCTAATGGCAGGGTGCCATGGTCTAGTCTGTAGAGGTCTGTGCATCCCTCCATGCATATGCCTCCCCAGACCTCATCTGTGAAAACCACAGGGTGTCAGTGGCAGACCTGCAAATTCTGGTGTTCAATGTCAAATGCCAGTCGAGCTCTATGGTGCCCTCAGGCCAACCTCATGAAGTCTGTTTCTGATTGTTTGATCAGAGACATTCACACCAGTGGTCTGCTGGAGGTAATTTTGTAGTTCTCTGGCAGCAGTGCTCATCCTTTTTTTCCTTTTTGCACAAAGGAGCAGATACCGGTCCTGCTTGTGACTTAAGAACCTTCTACAGTCCTGCCCAGCTCTCCTAGAGTAACTGTCTCCTGGAATATCCTCCATGCTGTTGAGACTGTGCTGGGAGACACAGTGAACCTTCTGGCAATGGCAGGTATTGATGTGCCATCCTGGAGGAGTTGGACTGCCTGTGCAACCTCTGTACGGTCCAGGTATCGCCTATCGCTACCAGCAGTGACACTAACCATAGCAAAATGCAAAACTAGTAAAAAAAAAAAAGAGTAGGGAAAAAACTTTCAGTGGCTTCCACCTGTAAAACCATTCCTGTTTTGGGGGTCATCTCATTGTTGCCCATCTACTGAACCTGTTGTTAATTTAATTAACACCAAAGCAGCTGAAACTGATTAACAATCCCCTCTGCTACTTAACTGACCAGATCAATATCCCAGCAGTTTAATTGACTTGATGCTATACTCTGATTAAAAAGTGTTCCTTTAATTTCTTTGAGCAGTGTAGCTAAGTATATACATCTCTTTTTAACAGATTAGTTAATATAGTTGTTGGGGGGGGAAGTTTTAACTTTAGTCAGTTATATCCCAGAATTCTACTTGAATCTGATTTCACTGCACACTGTGAGCTTCTCGCATTGTGCATTAGATGGTATGGCAAGTCAATTAGAGCCCATCCCACTTTCTGGCTGGAGGACAGTCAGCATTATGTAGCCCTTTTCTCTTGAAGTCTCCTTATTCCTTTTACATATAGAGAGACCCCATTTTCTAATAGTAGGATTAAAAAGGGTCTCACAGATGCTAAACAGACTGAAACCTGCTTTGGTTTACTGAATGTGATTGGTAATACAGTAAGCAGAAAGTGAAGAAGCTGCATAGCACATGGGTAGGAAGTACAGCCCCAGTGACCCTGTGAGGTGCTTTCTGGAATCTGGTTGCAGTGAATTGAAAAGGACGCAGATAAAGGAAAACTGAGCAAGCTTTCTGATTAGTTGCTCACCGGTTGGTTTCACCTGTTTCCTGTAGCACATCATCAACACACCAGCATGGTGAAAGGACCATTGGGTTTTCTCTGAGAATACGTCAGTGATCCTAACCTGGTTGTAGAGATATCGCAGTATACAATAACCCAGTAAACCTTTTATCACCTGCAAATGCTATCGCTCTTCTTAGTAATTATGGAACTGGTATAGAAGATCAGCATTTTTTAAACATCCAGAGAGAGAGAGAGAATATTGGCTCTAAGTTCACTTAGTGAGACTATGGCCTGTCATAAATGGATCACCTTGTCTCAGGATCTCTGCTCCATGCTGTTGGTTGCTATAAACTGAAGCTGTCACCCTGAATGCCATGACCATGTATGGCCAGGTTTCTGAGCTGATAATAAAGTGCAGTAACACCTAGACAGTAAAATGCATGCAGAGTCGTGCTTGTGGAAACAGGTGCTCGCCCCATTCAAGTGCGGACAGTCATTTCAGGTGTGAAAGCTAATCCTTCTAACAATACTCATTTGAAATATTGAAAATATGCATTCCCAAACAAGGCCCTACCTACATGTGAACTTCTGGAATGCACAAGCAGAACATAAAGGTCTTTTATATATTTAGATTATCGAAAGAAGACATTTCTACTAGAGAAGGTCATTAGACTTAATCAGGAAACCTAAAACACAGGTTACTGTCTCTAAAATAACCTACTTGCTCTATTTGCAGATCTGAATACAGAAGACCGCATACCTGCTTACAGTTCAGCTGTAGATTATATGCACATGGGCAGAAAAATTGCCGCTTTTAGGGCCGGTTCACACCTGAATCGCACAGAAACGCAGTCCGCGTTTCTGTGAGATTTCAGTGTGGTGCGATTTTCAGCCCATTCATTTTAATGGGCTGAAAACACACTGGATCAGGCCAAAAGTTGCGTATGAACTACTTTTCAAAAACGTACTGCACCGGATTGTATGCAACTGCGTTACCATGTAATCCTCTGCAGGAATCTGCACTGCACTGCATTTGCGATCTGCATTTGGGGTGTTGCTAGGAATACACTGACACCCACAGCAGATTGCACACAGTGTGTTCTGAAAGTGGACCAGAAAATGTGCATGGGACGCATATACGCACATAAACAGAAGGAACATATCTATTTTTATGTCAAATCATGCACTTCTCTTTTAAAATGTATCCACATAACACCACAATCAAAGCAAAGATTACATGAAGAAAAACATAAAATGCTAAAAACTTTGGAGGTAATTTTAAAATAAGGTATTTATTTAAAGTTATTGTAGATTCTATTTTTTTTTAAATAACAAACAGGTTCATACTCACCTGCTCTGCCCCGAACCTCCTCTTCTTGGGTCCCCAGCCAGCGCTCCTGGCTTCGCCTCTTCTTAAGTATGCCCCCATAGCAAGCCGCTTTCTATGGGGACACACCTGTGGGCATGTTCCTGAGCTGAGTCCACAGGCACAGACAATGTGGCTCTGTCCCGCCTCTGCTCCCTCCCAGGATTTCTCTGACAGCAGAGGGAGCTAAAAGGCTTCCTCTGCCGCAGCAAAGCCATGAGACCAGAAAGTGAGAGCAGGGAGCCACTATAGATGGGCATAGCACTGGATCACGTGAAGGTTCAGGAAAGGTTTAGAACCACTGTAAATAAAGAGAATGAGCATTTCTCCCTTTGTTTGCATGTGCTTCCTCATACTCTAGTACTCGTGTTTCCGAGTACTCTAGTTTCTTCCCACACTCCAAAGACATGCTGGTAGATTTATTGGCTCCTGTCTAAATTGGTCCTAGTATGTGTTGTGGGTTTAAAAACGGCAGCCTCCTAGGCAGACCCAAGGAGCGTTCTGTTGCGTGGCTAATGTAGTTCCGGTATTTAATTCAAACATGGAGCTGCAGAAAAAGTAAAGTTCCAAGATTTGAAGTATACTAAAAATTGCAGTGTGGTCTAGATAGTAGGATGGAAGCATGAGATATGATTTTAATTTTAACCGTGCAAAAGTTACATAGCTAACCTGGATGAAAAAAAGTCCATCTAGCTCAACCAATAGAAAAAAACAAATAAATAGGAAACCTCCATATGTGGAACCCTATACTCACAGATGGTCCAGAGGAAGGCAAAAAAAGCCCCTATTAAGCAGTGTCCAATCTGCTCCAGAAGGGTGAGGTTTGGTTTTAAATATTTACAATTAACTTTCCATTGTTCCCCTTGAATATAGCTCTGGTTTGCCACCAAT